TGCTAAAAGCAGAAATTAAAGATAGTAGAAAAATAAATCCTTGCAGAGCAGCTCTGTAGTTCTTGGTGGATTCAACACAGGACTGAATCCTGGCAAAACTATCTAATGTACGTCACCAAGGAAAGAAGTCTAATTGCAATGGAATTCATTATTCTGATGACAAAGATGTCCTTGAGTCCAGTCATTTCTAGCATATTAAATGATTCTAAGCAGCCTCTAAATACGCACAAATTTGCTTCTTCCTGAACAGTTGTATCTGAAACCAAATACGGCAGCACAGAATTTACAAATGTTGAAATATAAAACATCATCTTCAAGTTATTGACAGCCTGATCTTCATACACACAAGGAATTCTACATCCTACTCTATTGTATGAAAAAAACCTTTCGGGAGGGTCTAAATTTACATAATAGAAATGTGAATCTGGCTTGAAAAGAGATTTGATTTGTTTATTTTTTTTATTTTTTTGCTTTTCAACCAATAAATTCACTTTTGGACATTGTCCAAAAGTTAAATCAAAAGTTTTTGTTTACCTAGCAATTTCTAAAACTGATCACATTGAGTATTGCAGCTCTCTAGAGATAATATGTTGCTAATCATTAATCAGAGAAGACAGATTACAGCTCTGATAACTGAAGTATGTTGTTTATAATTTGGCTAGAAATCCTTAAAATCACTGATTATTTTAAGTGCATTATTGGTATTTAACTTCAATCCTAGAGTTACTGATATTCAAATGAATTGGGTGAGAATATGCCTCTTCCCATGAAAGACTGATGTCTGCTTTGATGGATGATTATTCTGTCCCATCTTTGAGGGACACTATCTTATGGCTTGCATAAGGTCTGAACAGAATCTCAGCTAAATAAAATTGACAGTATACTGAGTCTCTGGTGTGAAATGCTATCGCTCTGATTATTTTAACAGAACGATACTGAAATTCACTTATGGAGTATCTGGCATACATACAGTTGTTTTTTTACACAGTGACAACAAGATACTTCCTTGAAATTTTCCCTCAGACCATTTTCTTCACAGAGAACTAGACTAATGATGAGAAAAGTCTTAATGTTTATCATAAAAAAGAAAAAAAAATCAAGAAAAATCTTTGCTAGCGTACACATCATGGTCTAACAGACAGAAGTTATGCCTGGACACTGTTTCTGAGAGCTTTCTGTTCTCCTAGCACTGACAGAAGACTCAGTATTTTCTACTAGGTTTGCCTGTATTTAGGTGTGGTCAGTATAGAAGCTTAAATAACCTAGATGTCAGAGAAATCTTCCTTTTTCCTTTTAGGTTACATTAATTCGGGAATCTAGATTTTTATAAAAAGTGATAACAAAAGTGCAAGAAGTGAGGAAGTGCTGACAGGTTAGATAAAGGGTTTTTTTTTTTTGTTGTTGTATCTCAAATAAGACTTCTACACTTTTGTATGTCATGATTATCTTGTATGGTAGATAGACATTATTCTTGAGAATAGGGAGTTCATCTACTTCAGAGCCTATATTCTTCCTTGGAAGGTCAGATTTAGCATCCTGTATTTGGTATTAGACATTTCTATTGAGCCAGTAATCTGAAGCTTGACTGTACCAGCTAGCAGGGGGTAATTTTCCCCTGTTAATATTAAGTCAGCATTCACAACCCATGGGAAATAAGAAAATAAAAATATTTCCTTTTCTTTAAGGAACTATCCCAAATAAGACAAAATCATACAAGCCCCCCCCCATTAAAAATATACCACTTTTAAAATGAGAAACAGTTCTGGAATATCTTGAGAAACAATATAGAATCCAGCTATTACTCTGCACAATGCAGTTATGACAACACTTTTGTGGTTTTCTTAAAAAAAAACAAACAAATCCAAAACACCACCACCACCACCACCAACCCACCCACTCACCCACACGCAAAGACTCCAACCAAACATTTCTCTACAATAGCAGCTTGGAAATGATCATTGGTATGCCTTGGCAGCATCTTATACAAGTGCAAAAGTCCAAGACTCATGAGGCTAGAAATCATGTCCATTATTAAATATGGAGAAGTCCCCAGCACTGGAGCAGAGAAATATTGTACACTTCACTAACTTATCTGTCAGCATCCTCAGCATTGGGTAGACTTCTGGTGGTTTTGGCGATACAATTATTTGTTGACTTTGAAAAAGATCACTTAATAGGCAAAGAAAGTGATGTAGCCTAAGGAGAAGGAATCTATTCAATACATTCTTAAAATCATTGTAACAATCATTTGAATAATGAGAGCCCAAGACTGCAACCCATAAGTACAAACAACACTCAGGTACATGAGCTTTTAATGAGTGGATTATGTATGTCACAATGCAAAAAAGGGAAAAAAAAAGTTATTCTAGAATTTTGGAGGCTCTTTTCATTCCTCTGTAAAGGGAAAACAGAATAAAATGTTGTCTTACTGACTTTCCTCCCTTGTATTTGTAAAACTTCTCTCTCTTTGTGAATAAAAGACAGCTAGGAAAGATTATTTCCTTCTATTATAAATATTTAGAGTGAAACAGGAATTATAACTCTATAGAATTACAGGGAAGAGGATTTCCAGCAAATTGCTAAATGATAACTTCTACAAAATACTAGGTTTCTCTTCTTTGAAATCTCTTCTAAAATATGTATACACTGTAATATCCAGGTAACACTGCCAAGCAACCAGTATTCCCCTAAAAACAGAAACACTATAGCTACCAAAGCATACACAATATGCTGCTTAAAACAATAACACCTTGAGATTTTATTGACTGCAACACTTTCAATGATATTTATTTTAAACTAAATGTTTTGTGTTTTACTCAGCAATTAATATTATTATAGTAAGCATTTCTGTTGAGAATGTTAACCTGGGTTGAACCTAGCTTTCTGCTGTCAAATTGCCTATCTCACCATCTCTATACTTGAGCCTAAGCCATATTTGATATTTCATCAT